TTTCCACTAGAGATAGAGAAGAATATACAGGCGATGAAAATCTCTAGGTTTTTACAGTAGCGGCGAACCCGAGATCGAAGAAATCCTCAATGGCTCCCCGGCTTTAGCTTCGCACAGATGAGCCCACTTCTTTGGTCTTTTTCTCGTTTCTGGTAGTGTTTCATCGAGATAGAGGTATTAAATGAAGAGGAATACTCTATTCTACGCATCCTGTATCCCTGCAGCCTCTAAGAACATATCTTCCTTGCATTCTGCAACGATTTTGACACACACTATCGCATGTTCGCATACATTCTTCTCAGAAACAAAATTTCGTTATTCCCGAAGTGACGTCAAAGCCAACTCGTCCCATTGTCCGCTATTCCTCGATCGTGAACATGGAAAGGGGCAGATTTACAAACTTTAAAAATTCATAGAAAATGAACGAAAATAGCTACAACGATAATTTTTTCGCAGTGGTGATCAGAAAGAGGAAATTTATATTAGCGAAAAAAAACTTTTGGGGTTAGTGGCACTTTAAGCCTTTAAGGGGAGGTTAGTGGAACTCAGTGCTCAGATCAATGCATAGAGTATACACGGTGGTGAGAAGATATTAATTTTATGTTCGAGTGGCAAGAAGAATCTTGTTCTTGCCACGAGAACACAAAATTCATATCTTCGAGGTAACGTGTGATGTTCTTTTTATTATATAGACATACTGAGGACGGCGTTTTTGACGATTTTCCGAAGACTTCGGACAACTTTCCTCAGATTTCCGAAGATTCTCAAAAACCTCTCCGAAGGTCATACGAACGTTGCCGAACATTTTCCGAAATTTTCCGATGATTACCGTAGATTGCCCGAAGACTTTCGAGGAAGATCCGAAGATGTTTCGATCGTTAACAACGAATTTAAGTACACTTTAAGAGACAAACTTAATATCAGTGAAATTTCACTAGTGTGGACATGTAAAATACGCCACTCGAGTCCCGGATGTGGTTTGGTATAAATTTTATGAGTGTTATATTTTCCAGTAAAACGCTCGTGTCTATATAATAATTAGCTCTTATTAACCGAGCTGCAGGTCTGTATGGGAGAATCTTGACCGAGGTCGTGAGTACAGACCTCACTGCGTTCGGTCTGTACACACGGCCGAGGTCAAGATTCTCCCATACAGACCGACTTAGCTCGGCTAATAAGATGTTTATTATATGGCAAAGAAGAAAACTTTAATTCGTTTAATGTAACTGGTTTGCTGACAGTTTGCTTGCGAACGGCCATGAGCTTAACTTAAACCTGCCGAAATTTGCTCGTCCTCATTACTTTTTTTTTGTCATCGAGCTTTTTGGCACTTCCATGAGAAGAAAATAAAAGAAATGGTGTACATTTTTGTATTTTAGTTTGCTACTTTTTCAACGCAAAATGAAACCGGTCTAGCTAGATGCCGGTCTAGATGGGAAAATCTAGACCGCGGTCGATATCGATTTCAGCCAATCAAATTCGTGAATTCGATAGTTCCCAGTCTTTGTGAGACACAGCCATCTAATAAATATGGGTTATTGACCAAGCTTGTTTGGTCAAGATGGCTGGATATTGGCTAAGTTATTTTTTTGGCGTGTTTATGGAGCGAGAACTGAGTATGTGGCTTTCGGGAAAATCTTTCCTGCGGGACATAGTGGGTAGTCCCGAGCGAGCAAGATAGCGACATCTTTGTCGCTCGGGTAGCCAATCACAGCGCAGAATTTGGTTCATCTTGTTCTATCACGGAGCTAGTCAACTGCTGATTAGCGCTGGCACCGATAAGTCGTGCTCTGATTCTTATATTGCGAAGACTTCTTTATTTTATTTTATTTTTTATTTATTTTTTTTTTCTGTGTTTTCCTCAGAAACGAAATGGTATTGTTTCGGCTTCAGAGTTGAACTAGATGTACTTTGAATAATACTATGCAATTACAGTGCAGTGCCTAATTTGCAATGTAAACATGTGTTAGCCAGTCAAACAAACTGGTGACTACACGTTCAGATATCGCTAAAACGATTGTCACGAACACAGGAAGAGGTAAAATGTATCACAAATTGAGTGTTTTGACGACTGAAGCTGATTTAGGCAAGTTTGAATTTACGTAGTCTCCAACCCAATCCGGTCGCGTGTGTTATGTGGCAGGGCGAGCTATTTCAACTGTTGTCTCGTACGAAAATAGACAATACCGTTTAAATCCTTGTTTATCGGTAGTATAGTGCAAAAAAAAAAAAAAAAACCTGCAAAAAGGAGATCTACGTAAAATTCGAGTGTTTTCGAATTTTCAAACACCTTTATCGTTTCCGAAAGAAAACGTGATTTATTTCAGTTGTTGGTGTATCAAACAAAGCTATCATTCCGGCTTAAAGTACTGCACAATTCGCGTGTAGCTGTTTAAAATACCACTTCGAATTCTAGACAATAGAGCGCAAAAAGTAATGCGAGCCTTGGATAAGATATCATTTATTCGGGTCTTTGTTTCTGGCCTACCGCTGGAGATTTTTACCTTTTTGCCGCCAGTTGGTACTTAGCTGTATCGTCACCTCTCCTTGATTTCTAACATGGATGGAGGAGAGGGTCGAAAATTGAACAATGGTGCATCAACCCAAATCAATTTCTCATTGGATGCTACCTGATTCGTCGCAGGGATTTTTGTCTCGAATTGTAGTAACTAATACGTTTTAAATGTATATGTATAGTTCTAACATAGAGCAATCGAAACAAGCTTTCCTCCGTTTGCGATATATGCGTTTATGTGCAATCTTACTGGATAGAACTACTGATCAAATACGACATTCACATGCACAAAACTAAACCCAAATAACTAATTATCTCCATAAATACGATGATATAGGTTTTAAACGAGAATATGTTGCAAAGAAACTCGTAAGCACTCAGTGGTCTCGAGATAAATGTGTTTGTGTTCGTCCTTACTGGAAGGAACTATGACTGAATTGCGGGATTCACACGGATGGAACGTGGCCCAAACGAGAATTGAGTTACTTCCAGACGTAGGCTTACTGAAGTGTTGAGCTCTGGCCTATAGAGGATAATATATATTTTTGGCAAGAATATACAACAAAGAAAACCGTAGGCACTCAACAGTGTTGTAACACAGTCGACAACTGTCACATACATTGCACTCATTGAGAACTCTACCGGATGATATGTTAGCAAAGAAATAAAAAATATGTACATGGAAAATGCTATTCTTTTAGCCTCACCGAAGTTTTCTGGAACGTTCCTAATCTTGAAGGAACAGAATGCGGAAAGCAATATTTGCAAGAAAATATAGGAACAATTAAGGAAGTACAAGCTCTTTCCAAATGACATGCTGTACGCCTTGCATTGAATGAAAGCATAATGTTCAGGATAGATGTATTCTACAACGACTGGTGGATCCAAAAGCGACCAAGGTAGCAAAACAATCAGCAGGAACACTTGCAGTGTCGTTACAATTACTGCTTCCATTCTATTAGTGAAGGAGATTTTTGTTAAACTGGCTGCTATTGGAACTTCAAAAGCGCTGGAAATGCGAAGGACTTTTACCAGTAGAAATGAAAGACACAGGTTGTAAGTTATGTAACGCCAAGGATAAATAATCATGCAAATTGTACCTGTTGGTTCAAACAGATTCATAAGGGCCAACGACAACATCAAGAGAATGATTGCCAGGAGAGCAAGGCTCAGTTTCCTGTTGCTTGCTCTTACAATGGGGGTGTTCCAGAATCTACAGATAACAGCAAATGAAGTGATTGTAACAACGATACCCAATGCGCCAAATACTAGAACAGCGATTCCTCCTGGACTAGAGTAATTCAGATTGGCTAAAGGTAAATCTACGCACGCTGTCCTAGCCTCATTGGAACGTTTCCCTCTTGGGCATTCAGTACAGGTTTGTGCTCCAGAAACTGGGTTGATTGTACCCCGAGGACAGGGGATGCACTGCCAGCAGCAAGGCGAAGTAGTAGACTTTCTTGTTCCAGCAGAGCATTGTTCCAGGCATTCGGATTTTGGAAACTCTCCCGTCTGGCTGTTCCAACGAATGCTTTCGTCTAAATGTAACCGCTCTGATGCGTCCCAGTATCCGACTTTAACTTGTTTTAGTCCCGTAGCATCAGTTTCTTCCACTTGTTGAAAATTGACAATATCGTAAGACGCAGATTGCCTATCGCCAAACTTATCAAACAATATGTTCCCCGTTAGTCCAGTGAAGTTGACTCTGGAAAGTAGCCTTTGCAAGTCATTCAGTTTCAGGTAGGGCTTCCTTTGACCATCATTATCCATTCTGCTGGTATCTTGCGTTGCAATATTCAAAGCATGAGCTACGGAATATACAGCATCAATGACATACGGAACGTATGAGCTGTACACATTATTAACAATATTCTGTACACATAATTCTTTTCGGCGGTCCTCGTGCCTAGTTGCAGTGCCCGTAAGGGCTGAACAGTTCTTATCCAGTGCCCTTATGTCGCCCCACCATTCCGGAAGGTCCTGCCTATTTGCCTTGTTAAGGAGCAACGTTTTCATATAATCTTTAAACCCCGCGTCTTGGAAATTGTGAGGTTGGAATGCCAGTGACCCATGAAGCGGCGACAAGTCAGAAGGAAGGAACCCGTTCGCATTTAATGTGGATGTTATGTCACTTAGAATCCAAACTCGCCGGGAGAGGTTTTGTCTCCTGACTTCCCTAAAGAATTTTCTCAGAGTGCCGCCATTAATCCACAGGTTAATAACTCTGATGTTTTCGTGTCGTCTTAGCTTTTTAACAACATCCTTCATGTTTGTAGTCTGCGTATTATGTGATATGAATTCTGTCAGCGCTACGCAGAATGAGCCGTTTTTATTTTCGGCTTCTTTGATGACTGACCATACTCCATTTCGTCCATACGAATCATCGACTCCGACAGCAGCTATATAGGTCCAGTTGAAATGGTGTATGATATCAGCCACAGCTTTTGATAAATAAGTATCCGAAGGCACTGAGCGATGCAAATGTTTATAAGTGTATGAGCTTAGTTCAGGACTTGTTGTTGTCCCGCTTATAGCTGTAACATTAAGCATTTGAAGAATTCCACCAAGAACAAGAGCTGTACTTGAAAAGGTTGGGCCGATTAGTGCCATGATAGAGCTTTTTCCAATGTTTCTCTGTGTGGTGTTTTTATAGCACATACATGTATCTTTAAACAGTTCATAGGTGATTTGGGTTGCTTGTGTAATGCTTTCGCAGTAATCGCGTATGTCGTAACCTAGAGAAAGGTTTGGAAGTAGGGTTGAATCGTTGTTGATCTTATCAATGGCGAAGATCATCGCTTGTGCATGTGCCACTTCCAAGGAGATCTCTCCACATTTATCCTCTGATGTGCCCTGCAAGTGGCGAATACTAAAAAGGCCACCCAACATGACGTCTCCCTGTCTATACGTGGCTTGCACAACAACGTGACACCAGAAACCAAGAAACGCGAAGCAGTCCAATGAACGGATCGTACGAACCATTTTGCTTTGTACTTTCGTTATTGAAAATGAGCTGAATATCAGAGTGTTAAGCTCGTTACATGTACTTGTGTAGAGGTTGCTACGACTGTCTGAGCGCTAAGGCGATGATCTTTCGAAATTTACATAGCCTTTAGCTCGAACGATTTTGATGACGAGTAGGCTTTTCCTTATGATGTTTGGTGTCAGTGTGTTCTCTAATTACTGCGAGATGTCAACCATCTATGCGAAAAAAGATGATGAAAGTAAAACATTGTCGCACAAAATTTGAACAACTTCCTTTCTTAGCAGCCAAGTTGTCAATATTGTAGTGTGTTTGATATTGATTATTACCATATTGACAGCATTTGTTTGTTTACCTGCTGATGTTTGTTGCAGGTGATAAAAAAGCTTATTTGCACAGTGCTTCCTGTTGAAATCTGGCTTGGCTCCTGTTTCACGTGGAAAGAAAGAGTAGAAAAGTTAGACTACGTGTAGTCTTTCCGTTATTTCTGTGGATTTTAATCGAGTGGTCGAGTCAGCGAGAGCGCACGAAAATCACCTGGTACAAAAAGATATGACGCAAGGGTTGAGAAAATTTGAGCTTTTGAATTTGTGCATAATTCTGATGGGCTCATTCTAGGAAATCTGTCAACAGATTTCCGGCTCAGTCTCGGAAATCTGGCAACAAGCTTGCATCCATTAGCTGCCAAGAATTGAATACTTAAAACCAAGACAAATCGAAGTCCAAAAGCCACTTATTGAGATTATTCCTACCAGCTATGGCAAAATCTTTGGTTCCCAATTAGCTTTTGGTTTGCTAGCAATGTCATTGAATTACAATGTTCTTGTCATTTCGCCACTAAAAAAAACCATTAAAGAACAAGTTACGGAGATGATGGAGCTTAACATTTTGCCTGTTCACCTGAGTCGCAACAAGAAAATACATCTGAGAGAAATTTCGCACCGAATTTGTTAGGATCATTCCAGGAAACAAAAGAAAAAAAAAGGCTGTCAAAGTGTGAGTGTCAAAGCAGTTTAGTGACACGAATAGCTCTTAATTTACGGGAAAAAAAGGAGCATTTCGCTTCAAACAAATTCGCAAGCGGTGTTGTTTAAATTTTAGCGATGTTGCCGAAAAATAATCGCATCAACAACAACTGAGAGAAAGTTATTTTCAAGTTTCCTAGTACACTTTTTTTTGTGTCTTTTTTTGGCGTGATAGAATGGAGTGCACCGTCAAGAGGATAACCACATTGGTCTGGATTGGGCCTCAGTTTCAAACGGGACAACATGATCATTTAGAAAATCAATGAAAACATTCATTCAGGAGTGGAACTTTTCATGTGCAGAATCTGATACATACATTACGTATACGTACAATATTTTACATATTTTTTATGTATATATGCATGTACATGTAACATTTTAACGCAAAGCTTTTGTGTCGAATTAGCAATAAAGTTCGATCCTATTTGGTTCGACGTTTGAATCGACCTTCTCAAACTCGTTAATAATTCATCAAGTTAAAACACAGAAGGAAGTTTGGATACCCGGTCTGAATTAGCATAGATTTTGACGATTTTACTTCTCCGTTTACTCCTTAGTTTTTGTTTCGATGGAGAAGATATATCAAACACTCGAGATAGTGTTTCATCGGCTATCCAAACACCTAGAATTTCGTCAAAAATACTCCACTACGTGTCGTATTTTCAACTCTCTTCTCGGTGTTTGGATATCCCGATGAAACACTGTCTCTTGTGTTTGATATATTACGCTTTGTAAGTTTCTTCTCTTCAGGACGATCATCTCTCCGTAAAACGGTATGGCATGAAGCGCATTACTTCCTGTGCGTTTGCTGTGTTGCTACATCCTACTACAACGCACCTGGCTAGCATTTTTTTCGAACTACTTTCCCAGTCTTTCCTCATCGAAGCAAATAAATATGCGAATTACAGAATCATCGTGTGTTGTGGATTTTACGTCACATCCGGCCCTCGACCTATGCCCCAAAAACTCGGTCGTGAACTAAAATGGCAGCATTTTGACCTACTTTGACGAGCCACAAGTTTTAAGGGTTGGGTGCACTTTAATTATCTTAATTTACTTAAATCATTATCACAAGTCGGTTCGGCACATGTATAGTTCGATGAACCGGCCTAACTAAACTCACAGGTATCAGTGCGATTCAATAATGTGTCCCATCGAGGTTTATAACACTAACTGGCTACCTCCACCCATTTACAGTTGGCCCTAGGGGAAGAGTTAGAAAGTGATCGGTACTTGATTACCATTGAGGAGAGGCTGAGCCCGTCATCTGACCACACCCATGAGGTCACTTTTAAGGCACAGGAAAAGGAAGTGGAACACTTTGCGGGACCTCTATACCGATCAGGGAAGAGGAAAAGACGGGTATGCATTCTGATTTTGTGTTTTGTTACTGTCCATATGGTGTTTCTTCAGTCGGTATTCATTAAGTTTCAAGGTAACTTTGATCTATTTAAAGTTCGTGATCTTGATCTAAACTAACCAACGTGCTCTCACCACGTTTAATGCTATCAGTCCCTGGTTGGTTGTCGCAATTTCCTTAATTAGAATAAGGTGTGGAGCCTCACGGGACTTAAGTTCGCTTCACAGTGTGTCATTGTAACTCGCGATGAGAACGGTCACATATGTAACCTGCGCTCATACCCTCCCTCCCTACAGTGCATATTTAGTCTGATCGCTGGTTATCACAGATGCTTCTGACATTCCAGTAAAACTCAAATATTTAGATTAAATGCCTTGGACACCTATGCGTAAAGCCTCGTTATATTAGCATTCTCTCAAACACAGAATGGTTTTAATTGCATTTACTAAACAGTAAATAGAGACATGTTCGTGATTATTTTAACTTTACGATAATAAGCCCAAATTACCAAGGATTACCATTTAAAAATGCATTTGCTGATATTAATTTACTTAATTAATTTATGCAGGTACTAAGTACCTGCATGCATTTAAAAATGCATTTCCTGCTATTAATTTGTTAACTCGCATCACACATTTACCTTTGAATTATATATTCTGTTCTCGTCTTTCCAGTGTTTCCAGTCACCAACATTAAATCAGAAGAACCCCATGGTAACTGGATTCACAGACCCTGAGGCCAAGAAGGTATCAGCAGTGGCTCATTGTAGTTTAAGCTTTGTTGAAATCTTTCCCACTAATCTTTTTATAGACCATTTTCGTATTCTCAGTATTAGACTGGATTTAGCTTGCAACTGAGGCTAATGCCGGGAGTCTTTTCAAATGCAAGTGACATTAATCTCTTTTTAATGGTATTCCCCCGCGGGAGCCTCCATTGCAAGCTAGTTCCAGTCTAATACCGAGAATATGAAAATGGTATGGTTAGAGATCTTAGTCTTTCCTTTGCCGAAGTACGTCGTACAGTTTTCACAACATATTGCTTTGGTACATCCACTCATTTAATACTCGGCACTGACTGTACCGTAGTTTTCAAATAGCTGGGTTGAGCCCTATTTATTTTGTTGTCGTATGACGTATACCTACAGTACCTCCAAGGTAACTGTTGAGGTACATACATGTTTAAGGCTCACACAAAGATATGTAGTTCTATACAAAATCCTTTTTCTTTTACTGAATTATATGTCATTTTCAATTGGCATATTATAATGGCGTCAAATGCTAGTGGTACATTTATGGGAGAGGCTATCGGGGCTTTAGGCTACCGGGGCTTGCCCCCCATACAGACCTACTTACACACGTACTTTTTCAATCTGTGTCCGCGCTATTTTTTTTTTGTTTTTTTTTGTTTTTCGAAAATGTGTTTTAAACACAGCAGCTGATATGAACCTTCCCTTTAACGAGACTTACACACGTACTTTTTCAATCTGTGTCCGCGCTATTTTTGTTTTTTGTTTTTCGAAAATGTGTTTTAAACACAGCAGCTGATATGAACCTTCCCTTTAACGAGACTTACACACGTACTTTTTCAATCTGTGTCCGCGCTATTTTTTTTTTGTTTTTCGAAAATGTGTTTTAAACACAGCAGCTGATATGAACCTTCCCTTTAACGAGACTGTTAGACTGACTCGAGAAAGTCCTAATAGCTTTTAAAGAAAAGATGTTTATTACGATTAAATCACTAACGTCATCAGGCCAATTCAAATGCGGATACTGTATGCAGCGCCTTTTGCTCACAACATTGTAACATTTATTTCTTTTCAGCCAAGTGAAGAAGCTATTCCACGTCACGGTAGATTAGGCATGGCAAACAGACCTCCAAGTAAAACGGACTTTTTCAATGTGTACAGTTCTCATTCCAGCAAACGAGAGACTAACAGCTTTCAAGTCTCTCACAGGAAAGAACCTAGTGATGAAAGCCTTGCAGTTCTGCAAACAACTAACAAGTCATATGCTGCTGGCAAACAATGGGACGAGCGACACGATCAACGAGTTCCCTTGTACATGGCTGAGACCTGCAGTGCTGCAGGAAAAGAAAATGGAAGGTTTCATGTACCTAGAGAAGGACTTTCTAATTCAAAATTTGTTTCACAAAAAGAAAGGTCAAGTGACACGGAAAGCAAACGCAGCACACCCCAGATTCTAGCGTTGTTCTCGTCCCATAAGAATACACCACCACCTAAAATAACACGTGATGGAGAGACAGTAGAAATTAATGAAGCAAATGCTGGCGTTATGAAGGAGACAAATTCATGCAATTTGTACGATACTGCGGATAAATTCTCATCTAAGGTGGATGCAGCGAAAGTCATTGCCCAAACAACGAACGTTTCTGAAATTGCAAATGCGTTCCAGCCAATCATTTTGGACAATGATTCTGTTGGGCAAGTTCTAGAAACGGGCGAAGATTTAGGGGACTCCCTAAATCTGTCCCCGGATTCGTTTGCAGCTTGCTCGAGTGAAAATTTTGGTTGCAATTTTCACGGCAGGGATGCAATGTGCGAGAATGCCACACAGGAGTCGACATTTACCAGGTCACCAGATAACAATCAAAGGCAAAGTAAAGTTTGGTCCCAGAATGATTCTGAGTCCGTCTCCCCCCTTATTAGGCTTCTCACGAGCGTGGAAAAGCCTGATCTTCAAGGGTGTATTGATGTGAAGGGAAATGGAGGGCAGCTTTGCGACATGGTGAAAGAAAACAGGCTGCGGGATCAAAGCAGCCTCGAGAGCCCTGATGCAGCCGCTGTGGGGTCGTCTCCTTCCTCTCCTCCTGCACGTCCATATCCAAATGTGTACTCAATACAACAATGTTCATACGGCGTTACAACATCCGAACTGGACGAAGCCAGCAGTTCAGATTTTGTACAAGCCAGGTCTTTGTCAGAGGGTAATTTGTCCTGTTGCACACCTGGCATTATCTCACCTTTAATAACTGCAAAAGAAGGCGTTTCCACAAGTTACGAAAACATGCTACCTTCTCAACCAAAACTAGATCGTTTCAGCATTAACACGAAAGTGTTCTCCAGCCACCCAGGATCTTTGTTTCCATACAGTAAACTGCAAAGTCAAGATCAAATTAACCACTTGAGAAATTCTTCGGGTTCGTCCTTGTTCAGAAAAGGGTTCAGTGGTTTTGAGCAATGGAACTCGTTGTTTGATCATCAGGCTCTCGACGATGGTGTAGCAAATTTTCAGCAGTATGAGACGTCACCAGAATTCTACCCATCAGAAATTGAAAAAACGTACGAGGGGAGAGTTCCTCCCATTGTGGCAACAAAAGTCATTCCAACTGATAGCCGAACAGTAAGTGTGATAGGTATATTTATAGCTAACTATTCATATTGCGAGAAGTTGTTTGCTTGTAATCCAATCATCATTGATCACACAAGGTGTGGTAAAGTAAAACAAAGTGAAAAAAAAAAAAAAAAATGAAATAAATAAGAATACTACTAATAGTAAAATCCACACTTTCAGTCAACTGTTGTGTTTCTGTTCGGTCGCTGTATACGCAAACTGTCCAGTGTTTCAGCTGGATTCTTTAGCTTGAATTGTAGTATTTTTTGTGGGTTTTTAAAAACCAAATACACCACTATAGTATTGTTCTTCATTGAAAGGTCTCACGGATTTTTTACCACACAAAAAGCCGTCTTGCCGTTCCCTTCAGTTGATAAAAGTTAATCTGTAGGGGAATATAGTAACCTGCTGGGTTAAGATGCTATTTCCTTTATCCCTCGAAGTGCTTACGAGAATGTGAAACCATTTTAGTGGCCATTTTATCAAACTGAATCATCACAGTCCATATGCGTGCAATGTTACCGTACACATTCGTTTACACGTGTTGAACGTTCGCTCACACGAACACATTTGAAGACGATCATCTCAGTTAATTTTTAACTAAACCACCATGGCGAGGATAGCAGAAATTAAAGTTTCTCAAATAGATTGGAAGGTTTCGTTGACGATATTGCTTTATTTAGGTCAAGAGTGGGTGGAACACCGATGTGTTTTTCAAGATATACGATTGCATTTAGCACTGCAAATGAAAACGAAGAAACGCGGGCATTGCTTAAGTGTGTATGGGGTCCGAGACTAATGTCACGCTGTACTGTTCCCAGGTGACGGCAGGAGATGGTCACTCGTGGAAGGGTTCAGTTGTTAGTGACACGGTCAAGAGAGGGTGCTCTTCTGTACCAATGGTGTCAGTCCAAAGGCAAAATATCCACTGTCAACCTAGTAATGGTAAAGGCGAACATTTTTATCTTTATTACAGCTAGTCTTTAGAACATGAGTTGGTGCTGAATCATATTCTTTCCTTAGTTTATACCAGTTGTATTCGCATCAATGTTCTCGAATGATCAACATGTGTAGTTGTACTTGAAAATAAATGGAAAAGGAAGTCGGTTACTGACACAATTTCAAGAAACAAAAACAGAGATGGAGAGAGAATTAAAAAAAGAACAGCAACAGCAACAACAACAAACAAACCACCGCAGTAGTCGAAACGTTTCATCACATAAACGGCCGAATTGCCGTGTGTTTTGTTTCTGTAGCTTAGTGGTACAGCGTCCCACCAGTATACGAAAGATCATTCGTTTAACTCATGTTGGAAAAACTCGAATTTCTCTACCTCAAATAACTTATTTCACTCGCCACCTTTGGAACAACTTTATCAGCATTCGTGGCAATGTTTAATTTTTAGCTTTATCTTCATATTACTCAGGTGACCAAAGAGCCCCATCGAGTTTGAGCTGGATTGACTCAATTTCAGCAAGTGACGCTCAAAATGACTCGCCGTGCCTGCTATCCACGCAAGGATTTGCCACAAGTGAAAGCATTGCACTGTCTTCCACTGAAGGATTCATGAAAAATAGCCAGGCTAGAGAGGGAAATCCCACCGACATCAGACCTGAGTTTGCACAGAGAGTGCCGCAATTGGTAAGAAAGTTATACTGTGAAACGTTTAAGGTAGCCTTCTTTATACCCAGTTTTAGAAGCCGACTCAATTGGGTATGGCTTTTAGAACCCTCTGGTCGGAATTTCATGTTTTTACCTTTTTGAGTATGCTGATGTAGTACAAAGTTAATGCACTTCCATTCGCAGAGACTCTAGCCACTGGCTTCAACTGATTCGTGGACTTCTCGTGTTGGCTATTGACTTGCTTTACAATTAACCCTTTTTTTTTTTCAATCTAATATTTCATGCAGCCCAGAAGAAGAGCCCCTTTACTTACAGCACCGCCGGAACATCTCAACACGCAGCAAACAGTTTCCCGAAACCCAGTTGGTTACCGTGGCCTACCAGCTGCGTCTTCTTCCACGGATTTCGTAGAATTTAGTTCCAAACCAAAAGCAATGGCGATTACGAGAGAAGGGGAAATCGGGCCATTACAGGGGGAAACCAGTCAACTTCACAAGACCAACGTTGGAAATTTATCAAATGAAAGACATGGCACAGGGCCTTTTGCTTCACGTAGTTCTCGTCGACGCGTGGGCTTAAGGAGGGTGGGGATGGGATGTACACGTGACCTCCGCAACGGTCAAAATGCTATGTCTCAGACTGGACAGCAGTTTAGACAGAAGTCGAATGCCTACAGACCTCCAACTGCACCAGAATTCGCGGCTAACAGTTCGTCTGGAGACGTAAGTATTGCTTGCTTTATATTTACAATTCATCGAATAAATTTCTCCTTTTGAAGGGAAAAATACTATTTCATTACTTTTTGCAAACCATCGCAGCAAAATTAGAGATCTAAGAGCAGCTGCTTGCGTGGGATGAATTCAACAATTAGAGCATCGTTTCCATTTTAATTAACGTTAAGGAGGCAAGAGAAGGCGAGAAATAATTTTCGTAATCAGCAAGAAAGACGTTTCAAGGTGGACCGGAAAAATTTTGGTTTTGTTTCGACGGTTGAATTTTTGCAAAGGGGAAAAAAATCAACCGCTTGCCCCTCTGTAAAGTTGTTTAGGGAGGGGGTCCAGGTGCGGAGAGGGGGGAGGGCTAAAGCCATACTTTTGAAAACATGTTTCTTCTTGTTGCCACGTGTTCTCCTTTCCTCTCAATCAGCGAAGCATGGCCGGTGAGTTGAGCTTTCCATCAGCAGAGGAGTGTGACAGTAGTGTCACGCCAACTCGACATGTCACTGTACCCGTAACATTCCTTGATGTTATGCAGTATAGGCAAGTTTTCAAGTCTGCACTCAGAGGTATGTGTTTCACTCTTTGTGTTCAACTTGACATAGAAAGACCTTTGGAAGATCATGTTTTTTGTGTGTGTAGAAAATAGCCCAAAGAAAATATGCATGCATTATTTTTGGGCTGTACTGTACTACAAGACAAAGAAGAGATTTATAGTCGTGGTAAAAGAGCTTTTATTTTTAGCACTATTTAGGCTACTCTGCACCGTTTATGATATTTTGTTTGCTGTAAAATCACTTGATTTAAGTCTGATTTATGGATTTTGCGTCAATAAACTTGCAGAACACCTGAATATAGTGTTGTTTGAACTGGCTCGTAACTACCACGCTGCTCTTCAGAAGGTTGATGTTTCAGGGTTTGGCGCCCATGACCAAGGTATTACATCTTTGGTTAATAACAATCACTGATTGTTATTGACCGACTGGACTCGGTATGATTGGCTTTGAAGATCTCGTCATGTTTTGGGATCTGACTGTGGCCTTTTCGCAATGTAGACTTGATTTTTTTTTTCCCGATTCGTTGTTGTTGTGTTGTTTTTTGTTAGATTTGTTGCCTAATATGGCAAAACGCTATGACCGCAAGCTTACATAACAGCTTCGGTTTTACTCTCGAGTAGTCTTACAAGCTTGTGATTGGTTATAGAGCGTTTTCACTCGCATAGCCAGTAGCCATGCCAATATAATAATTGGAACTAAAGAAAGCGTTTAAATAATGAGAAGAGCAATAGTCTAACTCGCACAGGATTGGTTTGGAATACCAACATGACTCCATTTCATTGCTTTGGTACACCAATATGGCTGCCGTGACGTCATGTGAAAACGCTCTTTAAGGTTTGCTACTCGCTGTTGTTGGTACGGTAAAAGATTCCCACGACCCCTTTAAAACTGACTTTATACAACGCAGAACTTGGAAACGAAAACTTTGAGTATTTTCTATTTTCCCCTCTCAGGAATTCGCCAAAGTTCAGATGGTCCCTACTGCCCTCATGGTAATGTTACACTATGCAACATACTACGTAGCTTTATTAAATGTTCATTTGAAAAATAGCGTCAGAAATCCAAGAATGATCACTGTTTACATTTTCAAATATCAGTTGAGTTGAATCTACTAAGTTTATCGCAGTGGTGAATGTTAAGATGATGAAACCAATTGAATAATCGCCTTTTACCAATACAGGGCAAGCACGCTTGAGAGCTGTTAAGAAGGATGGTGTGAACAAGGTTAGTAACATCGGCTTATTGGGATTGGGGGAAATAACATTTTTGTTTTGTCTTCAATGTTTATCGTTGTTCTGCGTTAAAAAAAAATAAATAAAAAAAAAAAAAAAAATTCACACCCGCGTTCCCTGAAAAATGGCTCTCAAAAAATGTCGGCCTCTGGCAAATTCTCGGAAACGATTCCTACCGAAAAAGCCAGCTACCTTTGGTTTCATTGACGACGGACAATTATTTCCATAAAAATTGTAAACGTGTTCACATAAAACCTAGCCAGCTACCAAGCGAGTTTTTCTTATGACCTTCGTTTGTGTTCGTCGGGACTCTGGCCAATTCGGGGTTCCCCCATCCCCCATTTTCCTGTTATGTTGCTGTTTTTTTTTTTTTTTTTCATGGGATCTACCGGGATAGAAATGTATCAAGAATGAGTTAGCTCAGTTTTCTTGTTCTGAAGCCGAAGTGCAAGGCAAGTAATTGATCCACGAGATGCGGACAGATCACGCGCGATATACGCNTTTTTTTTTTTTTTTTTTTCATTCACTTTTCTTTTTTTACAGGGAAGATTGTTCTACACCTGCCCCGGAATGGGACAAGCCCAATGCAAGGTACTTGTTGATCTAGTCTGCAGGGTATTTATTGAATTTTTTTTTCTTTTATCATTATTATTTTTCTTTTTTGAAAAGAGTGTGTTTTTGTTTTGTTTTGATTTTTTGGTTTGTTTGTTTTTTTTTGCTTTTTAAAGTTTTTTTTCTTATCATATTCTGTATTTTTGCGCCAAGTATGTGTGTACCTATTCCGATTTTAGAATCTCTTTTACGTGGTAAACCGTAAATGGATTTTACTCCACGAGTACTCAACTCTGCTAAATATTTCCACCCTTCCCAATTATCCATACGATTATATAGCCAGGTTAAAATTTCATCATTGATTTTAATATTCTCACCTTATACTGTGAGATTTGCATATGGATTACTAAGGAGAATTTGTTTGTTGATAATACGGCTGAGAGGTTTAACTTGGATACGTGTTTAGTTCTTTAAGTGGGCAGATGAATACCAAACAAACAAGACTGGATCAAAAGGAGCGGAGCACAAGTCCTCAAATAAACTAACATTGTCCTCTTCTGAGAGCTTGATGTCCTTTTTCAGAAGTCACGTAAGTCAAAAACCAATTCTAGCATTTCAAGCATTTTCATTTGCTACCTCTCTGTTGTTGTCTATATCGGTTTCCATTGCTAGTCTGTAACAAATATTACTGACACAAATACGTTGCTTTCTAGTGATTGCCATGGTAACCATAAACCAGTCATTACACTAGCAGAAGTCGTGATAAAACAATCACAATTGATTTTGATTTTGAAGCTTGATTAACTGGGTGTACATCGTCTTTATGTTTAATGGCGGAAAGAAATATTATACTGCAATTTTCAATAGCAAAATCTGAAAAAGAAAAAAAAAAAAAACATAAAATTCAGGGAACCTTCCAGAACTAACAAAGAGTACTGCCTGGTAACACTTGAACAAGTTGAAATAGCTCATAAAAGTTCCCTTTCAGTTCAGCTGAAAATACTTTCTGCCTTTCTTTGTTAGAATGTTGCATTTTACTGTGAGTGCCATCTTGTAAGGAAGAATTCAGACTCTGGAAAAGGAAAGTTTGGTACAGCAAAAGCAAAGGTAACAGAAACAAGTTGACGAAAAACGAAAATACGTTTTAAGATAAGAATTGCCATGATATAAAGATTTATCAACATATCATTTTCTATTTAGAGCTTCGTTACTTTCTTATCTTTTTTTTTTCTAACTTTACGTAGTGAATTGAATAATTTAAAGTTTTATTTTTGTTTTGTTTTGTTTTGTTTTGCTTTTGTTTTTGTTTTTGTTTTTGTTTGTTTGTTTGTTTGTTTGTTTGTTTGCTTTTGGTAAGTGCTGTTGTTATAGTATGGTATCGGTAAACATACAGAAGACCTTAACGATATTTAAAAGCGCGTTTCTCTGTTTGTAGAAATGGGGAAAGCAAAGAGGCTTTGAGACTGAAACTGCCAAGAAAGGACTGTACTTGGAACTCTCTCGGAAAGATCATTCTTCTACTTATTCAAAGGGTGAGTCGACATTACCAGTTATAACGCACTACACATTACCGTTCGCGTTAATGCCTTTGCGTCCTGCCTTCCAAAAAGGGGGCTAACTGTTGTAATTCACTTTATGACGCCCTTTCATATAAACTAAATAAACGTTCGCGGCTTTTTCTCCCTGGTTAGGCGTAGTGCTGTAGGATTTCGCTACCGACCACTTATCTTTCTCCATTCATTCTTTTGATCGCCGTGGAATTAGTCGATCAGTTGGTCGAGTCGTCGTTCAGACGGTTATTAGGGACCTTAAGATACGAGAACGGGAAGGCCAGGACGGCAACGGCAGTGGACGCGGGAAACTTTCGCGGGTCCCGTCGTGTCGCCAAAAACAAAATGCTTAAGATGTGCATTTTCGCAA